TAAGTTAAATGTAATTTTAAACTTCATCAGTAGTTAAGTCTATTGTCTAAATAAAAATAGAATAAAACTGCGCTTTTATAGAATTAGGGATATGCCACATGAGCGGCGCCGCAGCAATAGAGATTTTTGTAGAGCAAACTAGACATACTAGACTGTATTGATGTGCGACGTTTTTTGTGGATACGTTATTGTGGCATCTATTTAATATGAAGTCACAAGTCACGTGCTACCGAAAAGCTATTTATAAAATACTGCTTTGATATGAACTTCAACCACTGAAATGTAAAATCGCAAAAGCAGGAAAAAATAATTTAATTTTTGAATATACTTTAAAATTAATTTACTTGCAAAGTGTCCGTGGTAAACTATTACAAAAAAAATATTTTAATAATAATTTAAGTTTTTAATAATATGTACATTTTCATTATACGCTAAATACACGGCCAGATTTTGCACGTGTTAGAACAAGTTGCCACTTACATCGGCCATGAACTGTTTTTTACTTCACGTATTGTTAGCGCGAATGCAAAATATGCCACAAAAAAACAATTTTTTTATTCCACTCATAACGACTAATTTTTTATTCCAAAATTTTAGGATAATCATTTAGATACTCACATTAGTTCCAATGAGCAGTTTAAAACAAATAGAATAATATTAATATATTTAAAACATCATTATTTATATTTTAATAGCTCGACGTAAAAATATATATTTAGTAACATTACAGTATTCCCATTAATAGAAAAAAAATAATTACTCTGCCTATCCGTATTTGTTTAAATTTACTACATAAAAATAGTAAATATAACACTACATATATTTTTAATAGGTTTGAAAAAGAAGGAGGTTCTGAATTATATATATTTTTTATCCTTATATTATCTATCGACCGAACGTACACAGTCCATTAGTAAGCGTGGGATAAATAAATACTAACTTCCGTGTTATCAATAAATGATTTCTTAGTACTAAGATGATTAGTTATTCCATTTAAATGCCACTACACGACCACTAAAACATGACACTTATGTGCAATCAAATACGTAACATCCACATAATTCAATCCTTTTTCGATTTTCAAACTTACGGCCGAATTCAGAAACGAATGATAGACTCTTCGTAAACGTCGCTTACAAACGCATAATTTTTTTTATGAAATTTAAATTCAATCGTAATCTTAATATATACCCTAGTTCATATTTAAAGGTCGTTTCAAGGTTTGGCCGTTAGTGTGACTACTATAATCCATTCCATTCTATTATTGTGGAAAACCATTCAAGCACATGCATACTTCAAGTGTAAATCTATATCTGTACTATTATAATAAAGCGTAAACACACACTTCTTTGTTGCCTAAGATGTCAGCAACTACAGCATATTTTTGAATAATTATTTTTTTATTAAAAATCCCTACACTTGCGTCACGCTTTATGCTATATACTTTAACGCCATTGAACTTAGGGAGTAAATATTTTGGATAAAACCCTAATGTGGGAAAGAGACCATAACTTGCTGCTAACATCAAGGAAGCAAGGTTGCCATCATGTCATATCATTTTGACATTTGCAATTGATAATTTGATAAATGTAAAATTTTCATAATTTCATGCGGATGAAGTCGCACGGGAACAGCTAGTAATAAGTAAATATAGACAAATTCTGCTGATACTGTTACCGTAAAGAACTATCGTACTTCATACTAATGATAACATTTAGATGGAACGATTGTTTGGTTTGTTACCACGAAATTCAATCTAAAATATAATCTGAAAGAAGGCATAGGTTACTAAATAAGTCTTTTTTTATCCTGAAGATGGAATCGCGGGAAAAAGCTAGTTATTTAATTATTTATGTATGACTTATAATAAATAGCTACTACGTTAGATAATCAGTAATAGTTACGTTGAAGAATTTTTTGTCAAAAGAATAACAAAAAATATAATAAAAACTATCATGTCCTTCGTTGGTTAAAAAAGGTATTGTTTCACTGTTGCTAATCAAATCATTTTAAGTATTAGAATTAATTAAAAAAGTATTATTTTTAAATTAAAAAATAACTCAGAATTACTTATGCAGATGATGCAAAATGTTTTAATGCGTTAGTTTGTGTTAATTAAACAGATAAAAAATTATAATATAAGTCTCTTTTTCTAGTTTTTGTTCGACACTACTCGTACATACATACGGGATATTTTAAACAACGCAAAATCCTGTTAATACTAAAGTCCTTATAAAACAATACCAGTACAATCAAACAACTCGAGAATTTTAATAGAACGATCATTGAATTGGTTGTGGCTCCCTTTATGTATTAAAAAAAAAACACCGATATCTTTTTATAGAGCTCGCTCTCTTATTGGTCGCGTGATCGGTGTAAAAAGCTCACCGTCCATTCACCGCGCCTGTCCTTACAACACGTTTTTTATTTTAGCTTTTTTACGCCCCAACGATTCACGTATATGAGGGTGTTTTACATAAGTAACCAATCACATCAGATATGTTACGTAAAACCAATTTTAACTATTATTTTTTTCTAACGTATTTTTTTAGATAGTTTATTTAAAAAAATGATAATTTTACGTACTATATAGCCTAAGATTTTTTTAAGTACGCTGAAAAATTTAATTCGAAATTTAATCTCTAGTGTGACCTACAAAAAATTAACTGACATTAGCAACAATTTAAAACAAATTTTTGTCATAAACAAGGGACAAATAAAATTAACAAAAACCGTTAGACATTTGTTTTCTACAATACATGTGTTTTATTATTTTTAATGATGTATTTTCATACGTTAATCACCTACAACAAAAATAAATGGCTATTACAAAAATAAACTGCATTAAGACCGTTAACAATACAATAGCGTATCTCATTTGCCTGTAACTTACTCTTTTATTGCCAAATAATAACTGAATCGGCTCCGCTTTATTCTAACGGCGATCGGCAGCTATGAGACTTTATTTTTTTTTATTATTAATAGTACATAAACAATAACTTAATAACTTGATCCCCACCCACAGTAGCTTGACTCGTATTGGTTCAAATGAAAATAGGCTGTGGGGGTATGAACGAGACGGATGTATCGGGCAATAGTGTCGTTTCGCTCTCGAGAGAAAACTTCGTCGCCTTCAAATGTGAAATACATTTATCGATGTTTGGGGCATAAAAATTGACAGATCTTTTTTCAGTAGTTTGCGAGTTGCGGCAGCGGTCACATCGCATTCGGCCGTCGCGGCGAAGGGTTGTGTTTAAAACATCTTCAAACATTTTACGTGATTTTGTTTTTGAAAATTAGTGATAGATTGGACAAAGTGAAGTTTGAATATAAGTTATTCATGAGAACAATAGTTGTGTGCCGTGATTGTTAGTCAATATTCAGAATACAAAACGGAACGGTAAGGATTGTTTTTTAAGTCCTTTTTTTATTGTTGAATACATTTTTATAGTTACCAGTGCACTTTGTGCAATTAAATATAGGTTTAATTTAAAAAAAATATATAAGTTGTTAATACAATGTAAGCTTTAATATATTATTTTTTATTTTACATATAAAACATGTTAACACGCTTAGTAGTATTACGAAACGTTTTTATCTTTATTAACTAAAACTTCATTTGATTAATATCGGTAGAACCTAAGTTATAATGTGTGCCGTCGGAACGTTTGTCAATATTTAACAGTATCTTGTATTACGAAAAACTAATGGCTACGTGCTGCATATTGCGAATTTCGCTTTACCCACAAACACACGCTTCACATGCGGATTTTGCAAAAACAACCAAATTACGCAACCGATATATAGCGATAAAAACACGAACTACTTCAAAATCGTTGCGATTTTTATGAAAGAAACATTCGCAAAACCGATCAAAGCACGTAGTAAAAAACTATTGCATCAAAACTGCAGCGGAACGCGGAAAATTCACGGCCACTAAAACTCTTTTCTTCAATTTGCATTTACATTTACAGTTAAACCACAATTGTTCTTATTTTATTACATACTGATTTTTAAGTTCCGTTGCTTATTATTTTTTTTAATAATTGTAACACTTAGCATGCCAGTCACGAGATTTTTTTGTTTTTGGCATCGATATTTCCCTGGTTTCTGGCAACTTTTGTCTTGTGTTGCAAGCATCTAAATAGATACCTACACTTTTATCTTAATGGAGGAATTGTTTAATTAAATACAAATCAACGCGACCAGTACTGAACCTTTTCTCGATGTACTATTTATATTAGACTTGAGATTCAGAAGAAAGTTGATGTCTTAAACACTAATAAAAAGTACTCGCAGATATGATATTCGATCGGTTAAACAATTTTAAAATTTAGTTCCTTCAGGTATTGGTAACCCGGAAGAAACAATGTATTATTTATCTTTATAATAGGCAACTGGAATTAAATTCTACTTGCAGGACTTACCTTTAGTACGCATATTTCCTAAAGTAGTTCAAACGAAAATAGCTTGTTAAATTTAATATTTGCAATAATGCATTTTACACGTCGACCTACATTAATTACATCATTTTTGAATATTGTTTGTTTAACACTTAATATTATTACAACATTAGTATATTTGTTAACTACTTTATGGCGGCATCAATAATCACCGCATTAAGTTGACAAAAGGGCCGACAATAGTATTAATTTACATAAAGCTCTTAATTTGTTAGCCACTATAGATAAACATTTGCAGTATCCAAAAAGAAAAATACCGCTATTTTTTTGTTTTCGGATAAGAATGATCTTAAATGATATCATAAATCAATAGTTATAACCACTCCAAACTCCTTCTCCAAATTTACAGTCTAAACCTTCAAGAATTTCGCTGACTTAAGAGTTTTCTTAAGTACATTTCTCATTACTCGACTCTCTAGCATCAGTGCTTTGAAATACACATTGTACTTCCTGAAGGCAAACATTATTTCATCAATGGAGTATAATACCATATAACTTTATTGTTCAAGTTTTTCATTATTTTCAACTATTACAGGAATGCTGAGCTGTGCATCCCCGGCCGGCATGCCGCCCGGCCCCCACGCGCATTCTCCCAACTGGAGCTCGCTATTACAGCCCCCCACTATTGTAAGTATTATATATTAGATTTTAATTACATAGAGAAATGAGGAATCATTTAATTTTAATGAGTCTTATACCACCATATTAATACATTTTTGAACAGTGATATTAGTCGATTACTTTAGTATTCTATATTTGTGTTCATCTTTTTAGAAATCCGAACCAATGGAAGAGGGCGGCTTTGCAAAGGATCAAACGAGCGGATTCTACTCGGAAGGATTTCACAGCGCTTCGCCTTCCTCTTCGAGCAAGGATTCTAACGGTCACTCGCCGCGCAGTGTCGGCAGCGCCGGCGAAGCAATGCCTTTCTACGAAAACATGGCACTCAAAGCCAAAGCTAATCTCGGCATGCATTTGGGATCATATCAAAACGGAATGCCCTACAACCTGCTCACACCCCCTGGCTTTGAGGCTCGCCACAACGAGGATCGCGGTCATTCACCAGGTTACGAAACCTCATATTCTCCAAGAACATTAGCACCGCCGGTCCATGTATCCACACCTATATCAAGAGCCGACGCTACCCCGCCTAAATCACCACCTGGCTCACCGGATAGAGATCATGAGACGCGTTCGTACGAACGCTTCCACGATTCCGGATTCGATGGTAACCAGAATAAACCCGAAGGAGATGACGGACGCGACGGATCCGGTCTCGATGATGACTTCGACGAGGAACCCGGACTCAGAGTCCCCGCTGTCAATTCGCATGGAAAAGTAAAAACTTTTAAATGCAAACAATGCGAATTTGTCGCCGTTACAAAGCTAAGCTTTTGGGAGCACAGCAAGGAACACATCAAGCCGGAGAAAATGTTAAGCTGTCGTAAGTGTCCCT